CCACGCCCGGCTAATTTTTTGTATTTTTAGTAGAGACGGGGTTTCACTGTGTTAGCCAGGATGGTCTCGATCTCCTGACCTGTGATCCGCCCGCCTTGGCCTCCCAAAGTGCTGGGATTACAGGCGTGAGCCACCGCGCCCGGCCTGTTTGCCCACTTTTTAATACAGTTGTATATTAGAGTTCTCTAGAGGGACAGAACTAATAGGATATATATACACACACACACACATATATACACACACACGCACACATATATGCATATATATGTGTGTATATATATAAAGGGGAGTTTATTAAGGAGTATTAACTCATGTGATCACAAGGTCCCACAATAGGCCGTCTGCAAGCTGAGGAGCAAGGAAGCCAGTCTGAGTCCCAAAGCCGAAGAACTTAGAGTCCGATGTTTGAGGGCAGGAAGTATACGGCAGGGGAGAAAGATGTAGGCTGGGAGGCTAGGCCAGTATAGTCTTTTCATGTTTTTCTGCCTGCTTTATGTTCTAGCTGTACTGGCAGCTGATTAGCTGGTGCCCACCAGACTGAGGGTGGGTCTGCCTCTCCCAGCCCACTGACTCAAATGTTAATCTCCTTTGGCAACATCCTCACAGACACACCCAGGATCAATACTTTGCATCCTTCCATCCAATCAAGTTGACACTCAGTATTAACCATCAGAGGCTGTTTGTTTTTTGCTTCTTGATTTCAGTTCCTTATAGATTTTGGATATTGGATCTTTGTTGGATGCATAGCTTGTGGATACTTTCTGCCATTCTGCAGGCTATTTGTTTACTCTGGTAGTTTCTCTTGCTGTGCAGAAGCACTTCAGTGTCCTCAGGTTCCATTTGTCAATTTTTGTTTTGTTGCAGTTGCTTTGGAGGATTAGCCAAAAATTGTTTGCCAAGGCCAATGTGTCAAGAAGGTGCAGTTGCTTTGGAGGACTTAGCCAAAAATTATTTGCCAAGGCCAATGTCAAAAAGGGCATTTCCTAGATTTTCTTCTAGGATTTCTATAGTTTTGAGGTGTTACATTTAAGTCTTTATCTTGAGTTGATTTTTGTGTATGGTGATAGGGGTCCAGTTTCATTCTTCTGCATATGGATAACCAGTTATCTTAGTACCATTTATTGACTAGTAAATGGGAATCCTTTCCCTGTTCCTATTTTTTGAGACAGGGTCTTGCTCTGTCTCCAAGATGAGTGCAGTGGCACAACCATTGCTCACTACAGCCTCAACCTCCCTGGCTTGGGTGATCCTCCTGCCTCAGCCTCTCTAGTAGCTGGGACTGCAGGTGCCCGCCACCACACTCAACTAATTTTTTGAATTTTATTTGTGACGAGGTCTTGCCATGTTGCCCACACTGGTCTCAAACTCCTGGGGTCAGGCAGTTCTCCTGCCTCTGCCTCCCAAGGTTCTGGGATTATAGATGTAAGCCACCATGCCCAGCCTCCATTGCTTATTTTTGTCAACTTTGTTGAAGATCAGATGGTTATAGGTGTGTGGCTTTATTTCTGGGTTATCTGTTTTGTTCCATTGGTCTATATGTTTGGAATCATACACTTTAAATGGGTGAATTGTATGATATACAGCATACAGTTTACATATGTATGTGGTATAAATATAATATATTCACGTATATAATATGTAAACCATATGTATACATATGAGTGGTTAACGAGCTGGCAGTTTCTGCAGACTCTGAGAGATATATATTGTATAATGTTGTGTATCATACTATATATCTCAGAGTTTACAGAAAAGAAGATTAACTTAGGCTGGGCACGCCTGTAATCTCAGCCCTCTGGGAGGCTGAAGCAGGTAGATTGCTTGAGCTCAGGAGTTCAAGACCAGCCTGGGCAAAAAAAGTGAGACCCTGTCTCTATAAAACAATACAAAATTTAGCCAGGTGTGGTGGTGTGCACCTATAGTCTCAGCTACTTGGGAGGCTGAGGTGGGAGGACGGTGTGAGCCCAGGAGGCGGAGGTTGTAGTGAGCCAAGATTGTGCCACTGCACTCTAGCCAGATAGAGTGAAGCCCTGTCTCAAAAACAAACAAAAAAAACCTGGTGGTAAGCTACTTTTAAATTTTTAAGATAACTCATCTCTATACTTGCTTCAGCTTCCTAAATAATTGCGTTTCAGGCTGGGCGCAGTGGCTAACGCCTGTAATCCCAGCACTTTGGGAGGCCGAGGCAGGCGGATCACCTGAGCTCAGGAGTTCAAGACCAGCCTGGCAAACATGGTGAAACCCTGCCTATACTAAAAATAAAAAATTAGCCAGGCATGGTGGGCACCTGTAGTCCCAGCTACTCGGGAGGCTGAGGCAGGAGAATCGCTTGAACCCAGGAGGTGGAGGTTGCAGTGAGCCGAGATCACGCATTGCACTCCAGCCTGGGTGACAGAGTGAGACTTTGTCTCAAAAAATAAATAAAATAATTGCATTTCAGAAGAAAGTGGCCATCCGTCCCAGCTCTAGACCAATGGCAGATACACAGGAGACATTTATGTCTTTGATCTCCACTCTCAGATGTGGTGCCTGGAGCAGCCATTGAGTATGGCAGAATCCTGACCCGCCTTACCCGCCACCCTGTCTACATCCTGAAAGGGGGCTATGAGCGCTTCTCAGGCACATACCACTTCCTCCGGACCCAGAAGATCATCTGGATGCCTCAGGTAGGGCCAAATGCTGAGCACAGGCAGGTCCAGACGGGAAGGATGGGCCTGGAGACTGACCCGTGGGTGACAGAGTAGGAGAAACAGGAGGATGGGATGGAGGATATAGAGAAAGTGGAGGAGGTGGGGTGGGTGGAGACTGGGCTGCAGACATGAATTTAGGGCTGCCAGGAGTCCAGGTCCAGTGTTTTTTTTTTTTTTTTTTTTTTGAGACACTCTCACTTTGTCGTCCAGACTGGAGTACAGTGGCATGATCTTGGCTCACTGCAACCTCCGCCTCTTGAGTTCAAGCGATTCTTCTGCCTCAGCTTCTCTAGTAGCTGGGACTACAGGCACGAACCACCATGCCTGGCTAATTTTTGTGTTTTTATTATAGACGGGGTTTCACCACGTTGCCCAGTCTGATCTGAAACTACTGACCTCAAGTGATCCACCTGCCTCAGCTTTCCAAAGTGCTGCGATTACAGGAGTGAGCCACCGTGCCTGGCCACAGTTCTTTATAAGGAATTGTTGGCTGTCTGGTTGAAACAGTGAACAAAGAGGGCAGGCTTAATGTGAACCGATTTCAAGGTCAGACAGGCAGGGGCATCACGGCTCGAGACCACTTCTTTTTTCTTGGCTGTCTGGTTCCACAAATCCTAGCTGGATCCAGAGGATACAAAAATACACAAAAGTGGGAAGGATTGGTCAGGCACAGTGGCTCATGCCTGTAAGCTCAGCACTTGGGAAGGCCAAGGCAGGAGGATTGCTTGAGCTCAGTACTTTGAGACCGGCCTGGGCAACATAGTGAGACCTTGTCTCTACAAAAAATCAATAATTGGAGCTGGCTGTGGTGGCTCATGCCTATAATCCCACCCCTTTTGGAGGCCAAGCTGCATGGATCACTTGAGCTCAGGAGTTTGAGACCAGCCTAAGCAACATGGCAAAACCCTGTCTCTACCAAAAATACAAAAATTAACCAGGCATAGTGGCCCACCTGTAGTCCCAGCTACTTGGGAGGGTGAGGCAGGAGAATTACTTGAACCCAGGAGGCGGAGGTTGCAGGGAGCCGAGATCACGTCACTGCTCTCTAGCCTCGGTGACAGAGTGAGAGCCTGGCTCAAAAAAATAATTGAGAAGAGAGATGGGAGGATTGCTTGAGCCCAGGAGGTCGAGGCTGCAATGAGTCGTTACCATGTCAGTGTACTCCAGGCTGGTTGACAAAGTAAGACCCTGTCTCCAAAAAAAAAAAAAAAAGGGAAAATCAACCAGGTGCAGTGACTCACACCTGTAATTCTAGCACTCTGGGAGGCCAAGGCAGGAGGATTGCTTGATCTCAGGAGTTGAAGACCTGCCTGGGAGATATAGTGAGACTCCATCTCTATTATAATTCTTTTTCAGTAGAGACAGGGTTTCACCATGTTGGTCAGGCTGGTCTCCAACTCCTGACCTCAAGTGATCCACCTGCCTCGGCCTCCCAAAGTGCTGGGATTACAGGCGTGAGCCACTGCACTCAGCCTATTATAATTTTTTTATACAAAAAGAATCAGATATGAAACCCCTTTGTCCATCACATATCTCCAAACGTTATCAACTCGGCCAGTTTTGTCATAACAAAACAATTTTGAGATACCAGTTCCTGTTGCTGAATGGCCCTGTCTGTAGGGAAGGCAGTGGCTGGAAGCTGAACTATGTCAAGGGAAGCCCTGGGTATCTGGAGCCCAGAGAAGAGGCACTTGAGTTCCCAGAGCCAAAGCTGAAGGAGGAGGAGCTTTCGAGGAAGAGAACTGGGTGGAGTTGTCTAAGGTTAGCACCAGACTGTGCAGAGATTTGCAGGCAGGGCCTGGTCTCCGGAGGGTGTCGTGTACAGATGTCTGGCTTATTGAAGCGTCTGAACACAATGGAATGTAAACAGAAAGTGGTTTTAGCTTTTTCTAACAGTTGTCTTCTGCTGTGTTCCCCTTCCTGCCCTTAGCAACATCGTGAGCAGATTCCATACTTTCTGGCCACCTGATGGTTACAAAAAACTTCAATCAAAGTCATAGTATAGAATGACTCAGCAAATGTGACTATTCACAGGATATTTGATTGTGTTTAGGAATTGTTGCTTTTTGAAGGTTGTAGTGACATTGTTATGGTTATTATAAAGTTCAAGTCCTTATCTTTTAGAAATACAGAACAAAATATTTACGGGTAAAATGACGTGATGTCTGGAATTTCCTTTCAAATAATCTGGGGCGAGGTGAGAAGGCAGTGAGGGTATAGAGGAAACAAAATTGGCCAATGAGTTGTTAATGTTTGAAGTTGGGTGATATGTATGTTTTAGAGACAGGGTCTCAGTCTGTTGCCCAGGCTGGAGTGCAGTGTGCAATCATAGCTCACTGTAGCCTCCACCTCCTGGGCTCAGTATCCTCCAGCCTCAGCCTCTTGAGTAGGCGGGACTACCCATGCAAGCCACCACAGTTGGCTAAGTTTTAAAACTTTCTGTAGAGACAGGGTCTTGCTATGTTGCCAAGGCTGGTCCAAAACTCCTGACCTTAAGCAATCCTCCTGCCTTGGCCTCCCAAAGTACTGGAATTATAGGCATGAACCACACCGCACCTGGCCAACTAGTGTATAGTTTTGAAATAATGTTAAATAAAGGAAGTAAAAAGACAGTCTAGCAGAAGCTAGGGCAGTTTAATATTCCAACCTCAAATCTGGATCAAGTCTCATCTCTTCCCATGCCTCAGATCTGGGCAGCCTAGGGTTTGCTGGGGGACTCATAGTAGGGAGGGATGGGGGTTAGCTTTAAGGACAGCTGCTCTCTTCCCCTCTTCTGGGCAGAGGACCTTTGGCAGTAGGGTCCAGAGTGGACCTGTCTGTGTGCCTGACTGTGTGTCAGTGGTGGGAAAGCTCCTGCTCTCTGGCCCCGTCTGGCTGTGTGAGCTGCTGGTGACCTCTCCTGCTGGTTTGCTCGGGACCCAGCTCAGCCTCACCCTGGCTCCTTCTGGGGCTGAGGATCTCCCAGAGAGCACAGCCAGCAGTGACTCCCTTCAACCCCTGCCAGGCATTTCCTCCAACTTCCTCCCCTTAACTTGGAAGCCCATGACCCCGTCCCCTGCCCCGCATGCCCACATTCCTTCACCAGGATCCCAGAATGATCCTGTGTGATAAGATAGGCACTTGTGCCTGAGGTCAGACATGGTCCCAGATCCAGGGTATGCATGTCTGGCTCACAAAGACATTCCCTTCTTCCACTGAGATAACAGCACTGTGAATTTCAGCTCAACAGGTGGACAGTCAGTTAAATAAAGGAAGTAAAGACAATCAATCTAGTATAAGCCAGGACAGTTTAATGTTCCAACCTCAAATCTGAATCAAGTCTTACCTTCATTGGAACTCCTCCTTGATCTTGGAGGACCCCTTCCTGGCTTTGCAGAGTACAGAGAGATTAATTTCTTCTCTGCAAACCCTACACTGCTGATAACTCATCACCGCTGCCCCCTCATTTCTGAAGCTTTAGTAAGGTGTAACTGACATGATGAACTGCACATATTTAAAAGGCCCAGTGTGGTCCGTTTTGATAGATGCATATTCCTGTAACTTGCCTTTGCTCCTAGTCTAGTCAACTTGGGAAGAAGGTGCAGGATTGTGGCTGGGATAGCTGTGAGGGTTGGATTGGGTTACTTGTTTGCGGCTGTCTTTAGAATGCAGGTGACTGGCCAGCTGTGGTGGCTCAAGCTTGGAATCCTAGCATTTTGGGAGGTCAGAAAGGAGGTGGGAAGATCACTTGAGTCCAGGAGTTTGAGACTAGCCTGGGCAACATAGTGAGACTTTGTTTACACAAAATTTTTTTTTAAAGGCCGGGCATGGTGGCTCACACCTGTAATCCCATCACTTTGGGAGGCCAAGGTGGGTGGATCACGAGGTCAAGAGATCAAGACTATCCTGGCAAGCATGGTGAAACCCCATCTCTACTAAAAATACAAAAATTAGCTGGGTGTGGTGGCCCATGCCTGTAATCCCAGTTACTCGGGAGGCTGAGGCAGGAAAATCACTTGAACCCAGGAGGCGGAGGTTGCAGTGAGCTGAGATCACATCACTGCACTCCAGCCTGGGTGACAGAGTGAGAAGAAAAAAGAAGAAAGAAAGAAAGATTTAGGAGGTAGCACTGATCAGACATGAGGGCATGGGAGAGAGAGGGGGCTGGGATGATGCCCTGGTTTTAGGCGTGGGTGACAGGGGCTGTGATGTGGTTCATTGTGAGGAACACTCAGGAGGGATTGGGGTGGGGGAAGAGGGACGTGGTTCTGGGGGAAGGCAGTGTGCCCAGTTTGGGCATATTCATTTGAGATACTGGTTTCCTTTGCATTGTGTCACTGAGCATTTACACACATTTTACAGTACAGTGTGTTTTTATCTACGTCACACCCCTTCCCAGCCAAACCCACACAACCGCAGAAAGGGAAGTTGGTTTCAAAACAGCAGGAAGAGGGGTTGATAGATTTGCTATGGGAGTTTTGTGAGTTCTTTTTTTTTTTTTTTTTTTTTTTTTGAGACTGCATCTCTGTTGCCCAGGCTGGAGTGCAGTGGCACGATCTGGGCTCACTGCAACCTCTGCCTCCTGGATTCAAGTGATTCTCCTGCCTCAGCCTCCAGAGTAGCTGGAATTACAGGCATGTGCCACCACACCCAGCTAATTTTTGTATTTTTAGAGATGGGGTTTCACCATGTTGGCCAGGCTGGTCTTAAACGCCTGACCTCAGATGATCCACCTGCCTCAGCTTCCCAAAGTGCTGGGATTACAAGCGTAAGCCACCGTGCCTGGCCTTTTAGTGAGATTTTTCAAGTGGAAATTGAAAGGGGGATTTCATTTTGGCACCAGCAAGCTGAGCCTCTGGGTTAGGGGCAGCCCACATACTGGAGTAAGCGTTGGGCCTGCCCGCAGGCAGTGGGGTGATGCATCTCCATGTCACAGGCTTGAGAACTGGCTCAGCTTGGTGTCTGTTCTTTGCTAATGGCTTTCAAAGCTGGTGGCTTGGGAAGGATGTGGGCTTGCAGAGGGTTTACTGCCGTGGGAAAGGGAGTGAGAGTTCAGGTTCAGGTGGCTCTGAAGGACCCACACGCCTGAGGTCCTTAAGATTTATTTCTGAGTCGGACTTGGAGCCAGGGGACTTTCGGTACTGATTTTGATCTTTGGCAAAAGTCAGCATTTTCTATGGTGTAATAATAGAGAAAGTGGTCTCTAATCAGAGCCTCACGGAAACATCAAGTTATCCAGTGGGAGTGGAATTCTCTACTGCAGAACTTCTTTGAGAGTTTTTTTTTTTTTTTTTTTGAGATGGAGTTTCACTCTTGCTGCCCAGGCTGGAGTGCAATGGCACGATCTCGGCTTACTGCAGCCTCTGCCTCCTGGGTTCAAGTGATTCTCCTGCCCCAGCCTCCCGAGTAGCTGCGATTACAGGCGTGCACTGCCACCCCTGGCTAATTTTTGTATTTTTAGTAGAGATGAGGTTTCACCGTGTTGGTCAGGCTGGTCTCAAACTCCTCACCTCAAGTGATCTATCCACTTCGGCCTCCCAAAGTGCTGGGATTACAAGCATGAGGCACTGCATCTGGCTTTCTTTTTTCTTTCTCTTTTCTTTTTTTTTTTTTTGAGAGATAGGCTGGAGAGCAGTGATGCGGTCATAACTCACTGTAACCTCCACTCCTGTGGGATCCTCCCACTTCAGCCTCCTGAGTAGCTGGAACTACAGCCATGTGCCACCATGCCTGGCAAATTTTTTATTTTTTATTTTTTTATAGAGACAAGGGTCTTGCTGTGTTACCCAGGCTGGTCTCGAACTCCTGGGCTCAAGCGATCCTCCCACCTTGACCTCCTAAAGTGCTAGGATTACAGGCATGAGCAGCCACTGTGCCCAACTTCTTCGAACCTTTGATTGCTAATGTACGCCTTGTTTCCAAGAGAGGAATCATAGATACAGCTATCCTTTAGTATCCATGGAGATTGGTTCCATGACCCCCAGTAGATACCAAAATCCTTGGATCTTCAAGTCCCTGATATAAGATGGTGTAGTATTTACATCTAACCTAAGCATATACTCCCATATACTTTATTTATTTGAGACAGAGTCTCGCTCTGTCGCCAGGCTGGGGTGCAGTGGCACGATCTCAGCTCACTGCAACCTCCACGTCCCAGGATCAGGTGATTCTCCTGCCTCAGCCTTCCGAATAGCTGGGACTACAGGCATGTGCCACCACGCCTGACCAATTTTTGTGTTTTTAGTGGAGATGGGGTTTCACTTGTTGGCCAGGCTGGTCTCAAGCTCCTCACTTTAGGCGATCCACCTGCCTCGGCCTCCCAGAGTGATGGGGTTACAGGTGCGAGCCACATCACCTGGCCCCTCTTGTATACTTTAAATCATCTCTAGATTATTCATAACACCTAATACAATGTACATGCTATGTAAGTAATTGTTATACTGTATCATTTAAGGAATAATGACAAGAAAAAAGTCTGTACATGTTCTGTACAGATGCAACCATGAATTATTTTTCTGGATATTTTTGATTCAAGGTTGCTTGAATCCATGGATGTGGAACGCACAGATATGGGGGCAGATTGCGTTTGGTTATCTGAACCCCTGAACCCTTTTTTCATAGTGCTTTATGGAGGACTAGTGTTTCTTAGAACACACTTTGGGAAATGAAGAGATAATCCTTGTATTTGTTTCAGATAAACAAAAGGTTTTTTTTTTTTTCTTTTTTTTTTTTTTGAGATGGAGCCTTGTTCTGTCTCCCAGGCTGGAGTGCAGTGGCACAATCTCTGCTCACTGCAAGCTCTGCCTCCCGGGTTCATGCCATTCTGCCTCAGCCTCCCAAGTAGCTGGGACTACAGGTGCCCGCCACATGCCCGGCTAATTTTTTATGTTTTTTAGTAGAGACGGCGTTTCACCTTGTTAGCCAGGATGGTCTCGATCTCCTGACCTTGTGATCCACCCACCTCGGCCTCCCAAAGTGCTGGGATTACAGGCGTGAGCCACCGCGCCTGGCAAATGAAAGTTTTAATGATAACTTTGGACCTGGAACTCAGGAAGCTCCCATTTAAGTAGGTGTTTTGTTCTCTCTACCCCTCTA